GAAGGGGAGTGAAGCTCAGCCTGGGAAGAAGGGAGGGGTGGGATGTTTGAAGATTTGGTTTTATTTCTCATTACCCTACTGTGATTTGATTGGTAATAAATTAATTTTCCCCAAGTTGAGCCTGTTTTGCCCCTGACAGTAATTGCTGGGTGATCTCCCTGTCCTTATCTCCACCCAAGGGCCTTTTGTTGTATTTCCTCTCCCCTGCCCAGCTGAGGAGGGCAGTGACAGAGCAGCTTTGGGGGGCACCTAGCCTCCAGCCAGGGTCAACCCACCACAATTATACACATTAATATTCAACATCCACAAGCACACACAAATTAAATGCTGTTTCCACAGAACAGAACTATTTTTATTCACATAATGCCACTGCATGTCTTTAATATTCTCAAATTAAAAGTGTCATATTTTGGAAGAATTGAAATTAATTCATCATTCGATTATGAACCAGAACATATTCTAAGTTGTTAAGTTCAAACAAACCATGACAATACATTCTGCATCATTTCTTAACCAGGTTTGTTTTTAACAAACCATTTGCCTGACTCAGCAAACTGTCTTTTGAGTTCAGATTTTTTTTTTTTTAATAAAGTTAAAACTTTCAAATTTTAAAACTACTCATATCCAGTATTACAGCATTTCTTGTAACCAACAAAGCCAGCAAGTACTAGGACAACTAATTCTCCCAAAGCTGTTCCTACTGCTACAATGAAGTTGTCCGCCTCTGCGCTACTGCCTTCAGCTAAACAGAAAAAGGGCAAGTCTGAAAGACACATGCATATAAATAGAAGTATTTAACACTATAATCTCCCTCTCATTGTTTACAAGTTACACCTTTCCCCAACAGGACATCAAACAGTCATCCACAAACCCCTGACCACCTCCCCAAAAATATAATAGCACCAGTTCCCCCTACATCATAACTAACAGACTCATAATTCCATGATGTACATTCTCCAAAAGCATGTATTTGTGTACTACTGTAGATTTATCATTACTGTACACCACAAAGTCCAGTCTTCCAGTGTCTAGATACTCACTGCAAGTCTCCAGGAGAGACAATACTGGAGATAGAATTACAGTGAAAATAGCAATGCTTTGACAAAAAAAAAAAAAAGTGTCTTTACACTTATTGCAGGACAGCAGTTAACTCCAGCTTGCTGGAGTTTTGTTACTGACTCTTTCAGACTGACTTGTACTGATAAGTTGACAGAAGTTTGATGCCTGCAGTCCCTCTGTATTTAAATTCACTCAGATTGATTTACATCCTTAGGAATCCCACTATTAAGCTCTTTAACAAGATCCTATTAAAATACTTGTGTTTTTCTTCACATTAAAAAAGCTTCAGCCAACTTTAGCTTACACTTCAGCAAGGTGCTACCATTATTTTACCCTTGTGTAGCAGATAAGAAAGCAGCTTTAACATAATGATTATATAAATGGTGCAGGCTAGAATCAAGAAGGGGTATGGGATTAGACCAGATTTTTTCTTTTTGTCATATGACTATGGAGTTCAAAAGAGCAGAAAGAGGTATCGTAAAGGGAAGACTAGTGTTTCTCACTAAAAAAAAAGTATGTAGTAGTACTGTTACCAGAAGAACTGGCAGCACAGACAGGACCAACACAGCTTCTACCTCAGAGGATGATGCTACTACTCAATTTCCAGAAGTCGCCCTAATGCTTTCCCTCTTTTGCTGAATGTGGAGACCAATTTCATTTTCCAGGACAACTGCAAAAAGGAACTGTTCAAAGCTGTACACCAATTTAAGATGGCCAGCAAAAATCAATCATAAAAACATCTTGTCTGGATGGAGCTACAATTGACAAAAAAGTTTACAAGCAAATTTCTAACAATGAACCAGATGTAGTGTCTCAATTAGTTCCCAAGCTGTCCTCTGCTAGCAAATTGTACCCAAGCACACTTCAGAATGTGCTGCAAAACAAAGCATTAAACCCAGGTAACAGAGGACTCTGAGGAAAACCTTCACCAGCTATATAACAGAATCTCAGATATAGACTGAAGTTGACCTTACTCATTTAGTTTATTTTCTTAAAAAAAAAAAGACAGTACAAGATGTCTGTTTTCAAATCAGTTTAAAAAAATGTGAACAAGTTTCCTTAAGAAATAGAACAATCTTTATTATTTAGAGCACATGTTGAACAGGTTGACAGTTCCCTACTGAGCAATACATACAGGAAAACTAGTGGTTTTATAACAACAGGCAGTTGGGTGAAATTTAGATGTATTTTGAACCAGTTATCTGCACGTCAGTCTAGGAGTACTTTAATCTCTGAGCCAATATATTTGCAAATGAAGATTAACTTGCAGGTTTTTTCAAAGATACTTCTAGTACTGTTGAATTTTGGGAGCACTTTGCACTAATGTTCTGTGCTGTCACTTGGATATCATGCACAGTTCTAAAGTTTGTATGGTCAGATGAATAGAGTGTGGTAACTACTCCTTAACAGAAATGCATGTGTAACTGGTGCCACTGAACATCAGTCACAAAAATGCTAAAAATCTGTATGAACTTCTGCACTTGAGGATATATTAATATGAAAGTTATTAGATCCACTTTTTTTAATTAAAATGGAAAGTCTTGAAGCCTGTTTCAGCATTAAACTTATAGCAGTTCCCCACTTTCATTTTAATGAATTTCAGTAACTGACGCAAAATTCAAGCTGTAGACTACAAGCTATAGTAAGCATTATCCACCCATACTTGCTTCCTTAGCTAGTGTCAAGAGTAAACCGTTTTAAAAAAAAAAGATTACTGAAAGAAGTGTATTTTATGATTTGTATACAAACATGCCACAGACATCTCTACAACCCTAGAAAACACTAATAAAACACTAAACCAGCTTTGATGCAGGCTAAACTCATTCTAAAGGGGGAGACAACGTTATGTTCATTAAATAACTAGGTTTAGGCAGCTCATGTTATGACATATGCAAAAAAGCCACTCCTATCTAAAAGTCTAAAAGACTTTTTTTTTTCCATGCAGTAAAAGCTATGTATTACAGCACAAGGAGGCCAGAGAACAGTTATGCAGCAAGGGTTAGTCTCTACAGAGCTGCAGTTTAAGAACAGTCCAGTTGCACTGCATTTTTTAAGCTAGTTATACTTTCCATACAGCAAGGAAAAACAGGTGTTGTGGGTCCGTCTCAGACTCATTTGGCTTTTGCATCCTTAACGTTAATAAATGCTACACAGCAAACAATCAAACACAAAGTACATTAAACGTTCAGAATGCCAATGGCGGGCAGTTATAATGTGAATTTTGATTGGCAGAGAACTGTTCAAGATGAAGATTTAAAGACAGCTCAAGCTGCAACAGCAGATACTGGCTCATTAAATGAAAGCGTCTTTAAACAATGGTCATTCAAAGCAACAAGACAGACCAGTTCTGTGCAGAGTATGATATAAAGTTAAGTGCACTTTAAAGTTCCAGAATATTTAGAAAGGTTATTCCCTTTAAACCGATGCTAGCAAAAAAGCTTGCATTAATTTAGCAGAACTCTGCCTTAGTTCAGTATTTTAGATGATTGCCAAGGTATAACAAGTGATGAAGAATTCCATGCCTAACAGTATTTTATTTTTTTTTTTTTTTAAGCATTTGGAGATAGCACTGAAGTCTTCCTATATCCACCATTCGGCAAGTATAGGTTATCCATTTTGTTTGTACAGCCAGGGTATAAGAATGATTCCTGAAACTATACCAAGGCAGGAGTAAACTACTTAAATTCTGTCAAAGCTAAGTAAGTTACTGCTGCCACTTCAAAGGATCACTTAATCACCAGCCTGAAGCTCAATTCGATGAAAAACAAAGTTGTTACTGGGCATTGTACAATCCTTGTTAAATACTACACAAGTCAACATAGTGACTAACGCTGCCAGCTTAACCCACAATTACGACAACAACTAAGGAACGCAGAAGAGAGAAGCAAGTACAAATTCTATGCTATTCTGGGATTTGCCCAATGCACATCAGTTTAGAATGCATTCTTGTTTCAGGCTACAATTTGTGAAAAGCAGAAATAAATCCTAAACACTTCAGGGTTTTTGCAAGATAAAATCCTTAGCCTAGCAACTCATCCAATATTTGACATCTTCAAAACAGCTATGAAACCCACGTTGTCTTCTTAGTGCAGGGAAGCTAAAAATGTAGTTCTGCTTCATTTGAGATAAACATTCTCTCTTTGTTTCTCCAATTAGCTGTGGTTAGTAATTACTCCTAAGTTTTGGGTCTTTTTTGGACTTCAGAACTTGCACTTGCTTTGTTTAGAGTGAAATCAGAACAGGAATCACATTTAGATTCACAAAGTTTGATATCCAGCATAGCTTTTTCTTCTGCCAATTATGTAAGCAACCACTATAATGGCAATCAAGCCAGCAAGTGCAGCACCAACTACAATTGGGATTAGAATGCTGTCATCATCCAGCGAACACTCCTGGGCTGTAGGTGAGAAAAAGGTTGCAACAAGGAATAAATAAAGACAGAATACTTGCCAAGTGTGGTATTAAAAAAAAAAATAAATCTGTTTTCCTTAGCATGAAGGTGTTCAAAAATCAAGTATTACTACATCTTTACACTAAGAGAGAAAGAACTGCAGAAGTCTCACAGGTACATCTAGCATATATTAAGCATTATAATCACTTGGAACATTTGATAAACTCCAGTAAGCTAAGAGAAGTGCCCTGGTGTACAAGTTTTCACGTGCACAAGATCTCTACTAGACAAGTAGCCATTCTTCTGCTTTTAAGACAGAATCAGGCTTATTTATTTCACACTTAAGGCAAGTGTGGTGCTTTTAGTCATTAAGAGTAAAGTGACCTAGACTTGGTATCAAGAACCTATCCAGAATGGAGACATGTTACAGAGAGATGAAGTAACTGTAATTAGGAGGAGGAAGCTAGCTGCAACAAATGGCAGAGTGAAATGGGACCTTAACTCTTTAGAACGTTATTATGATACATACTGTTTACCCTGCATACATTTGGGGAGTTAACTTACCTCTGCCTAAAAAAAATTCAAAAATCTGCACCCAATCTATTCGTCTACAGATTAGTCTAGTCTAATAAGACTACGCTGCAAGCATTACCAATAAGTACAAAGACCAGGTTACACTAAAGATTAAGAAAAAGGTCATATCAGCCATTCCAGTTTTCCCCAGACAAGACCAGGATAATGCAGCAAACAGACATTTTAGAATCTTTCTTTAGTTCTAGGTATTCAAGATTGCTTCTGAAAGAAGCTCTGTCAAATCATTTTTTCCCCTCAACACTCCTGTTCCTCAGACTGAGAGGTAAAAATAAATGAAACACTTATCAGCATTACCAAAGTCTACTTCTGCTAAAGTTTTGTCCCCATTTTCTTATATATTCGAGCTACAAAAAAATGTCAGTCAAGATGTCAGATAACTTATAACCTATTCTGCAAGGCAATGCTTAAATATCTCTTCAGTACCTTCAGCTCCTTCAAGTTTTATGAAGGAGAACCAACACACCTAGCAGACTTAAGTGAAAACAAAGCTTTCTTTGAACTTGAATGTCAGTCTCAGAATTTCTCTTCATTCCATGTGTTAAAAAAAAAGGAAGAAGGGCTTCAAAAACAAAGAGCTAGTGCCCAATGCTGGTGCTTTTTAGCAAGTCAGAATTCTGCAAACACTGCAAGAATTAACAAAACAAAGGAACTCTTACCTGTAGAAAACTTATCTGCCTTCACAAGGAATGGTTGAATCCATAGATTAAAAGTATGTATTTGAAGATTTTCATTAATCTCAAGAGTTTGCTCTTTTCGGCACATATAAGAACTACCAAGGAAAGCATCCCACTGGCTGAAATTGCTGTTATCTGCACTTGAAATAACTAAACAAAGGGGAGAAAAAAAAAAAGGAAATTTGCATGCCTACTTAAAGTGCAAGAGAGTTGCCAATAACAATAATAATAATAAGACTAAGGAGCTGAATCAAGAGCAGCCAACTTCTCAACACTGACTACTCTGAGAAACAAAGTAGTTTGAAGTGTGATCAATCTGCTTAACTAAAAGAAGTCAGGCACTGAAGTTATTACAGTACTTAGCAGTAACTTATCCTCTATATAGACATGACCTGAGGCTTTCCTTGTACCTCCACTCATCCCAACACTGCAGATTTGCGAGCATTTTAGCTTTAGTGCCCTTTTAACTGCAGTAGTCATGACAAGCAACTTTAAAAACAACAACATACTTTTGATTAGGAAAAAAGTATGCTTGAGTTTTTGAAGGACTGGTGTCTTTTCCCAGGGAGAGTTAAGTAGAAGAGGTTGGAAGATACAGCAGCATCTTCAATTAAAGATGACAAAAGCTGGTTTAGGAAAACCAAAAACCTTCAGAGTTGGTACAACTGTATTTGACACCACAAAAAATTGTGTTACTGAAAACAGTTATAAAGAAGCCCTCTTAATTTATCTATGTTTATCACAAAAAGACTCCATTAGCTGAAGTTTCAGGAAAAGAGAATGATCCCACACTGCTGTAAAAGGAACTCATACAGCCATTTCTGCTTATTACTTTTGTTCTTAACAACTTAAAGAAAATAACAGTAAGCATGAACAGCTTTAAAAAAAAGTCAGAAGTAATTGACAAACAGACATTGAATAAAAGCCTACACCTGCCTTAAGGCAGAGGCTATTCCTTACCAGAACCATTCAGACGGTTGAGCAGTGTAACATTCACCTCTTTCAGATAAAACTTTTGTACACTTGCACTGGCATTTTTCTGTTAAAGAAGCAAGAACCAACCGTCAATGTTCAATTCTGCATTTTTAACTCCAACAACACATGGCTTTGTAACACATTTACCACAGTCTTACATTTTCTATAACTTTAACCCAACTCCTCACTTGTCCTGAGGCAGTCAGCTAGCCAGTTCCACTTCCTATATGAGAACAGCCTACCACCAGCAAGTGACAGAAGGATTTTACTATGAGTGATCACCATGCAATGCTGGAAACTTAGTTTAAAATAGAAAAGGTTACTTACCACAACAAATGTAAAACCAATCAATGTGCTATTTCGATCATTCAATTTCAGAGTAGCTGTCGTATTACCACATGTACCATCTGCGCTAGTTGTCTTTGGATTGATGTTGATCAGAAGAGGCTGAAATACAGACATACCATGTCAAGGACATTCAGCTGCCATGAGGAATACATTGTTTCAGTCAGTAGCAGTCTCAGGCTAGAAGAGCTTGTCATTAAGATGACAGCAAGAAGATTGAGCCTGGCTACTATCAAACTAAGGCCACTTGAGTTAGGTTTACACACTGGTAATACTGAAGCAAAGAAATTGCCCAGTGAAGTCTTAATTTTGTTGACCTAATGCAACAGGTTAGCTTTGGCTCCCTCTGCGGGGAAAACAGCTTTAAAAGCTAAGAAAGTTCCAGGCTTTTAATGATGTTAGAGGTACTCCCAGTAACGAGTCACATTGAATCCACATATGGGTTTGAAGCTAGGTATTAGGCCACACATTATTCCCGTGTTAGAGTGGTGCTATGTACAATACTTAGGAGCAGTTCTGTACATCCACCAGTTTACAAAGCAAATACCCTGCACTCACATTTCATACCAAATAACTACAGCAACCTTTCTACTCTTCTAAAATAGAAGAGAAGCACCTTGTCTTGGGAAACGTTCAGCTGCAGCCCCACAGTAGCCAGGAGACAAGTTTTATTTCCACTTTTAAGAGAATAGTTTCCTGTGTCTGGATTCTCCACAGGTTTGGGAGCAGTGGTTGGAGCAGGTGATAAAGTGGTGGTAGATGCAGTAGTTACATTGGCAATAGTAGGCGGAACAGTAGGTGCAGAAGTTGGCATGTCAGCATGACATCTGGACTCTGAAAAGAGATTTTAACCACCATTTCAGTGCTAAAATTTTATTTAAGTCTTGTGACTCAGAGGTCAGTTCAATACAGATATCAATTTCTCTGTTGAGATCTAGGCTCATTGGAAGTCTGCTAACCACAAGTCAGAAGTCTCAAACTCAGCACTGTGGCACAGCATTCCAAACAATTTACAGCCACCATTTATTCTCAGAAATTCTGTAATGCCCAGAGTTTTAAATCCATGTAGCATATGCAGTATTACTTATCTCCAGTGAAATACATGGACAAAGACAGCTAAGTAATTATAAAAGTGTGATATGTATTTGCTGTAGACAAAGTAAGCAATCCTATGAAGCTGTATGTAGCAGGATGATGTGTTCATCTCGTGAGTAGCTGAGCTATGAGATGAGACAACAGGTTTTAGATTATTTAAATGAAAAAGTAGAGGCTACCACTGAAAATGGAAGGCAGTCAGTTAAAAACCTTCAAGCTCAAGTGATCTAGTCAGTCACAGTAGTTTCAAAGTGCTCATTTTTAATACCCCAATAACTGGAATACTTTATTAGACTACCACCTTGGCATGGGAACAGTCAATATTACTATATACGACTAAATCCGTTCCACTAACCTATTTTTCCAGGAACAATGAAAGAAGTACTAAAGGATATTTACATGAATATTATTCAACATAGCACATGTTAGAACCAGCGGATTTTTTACTATGGGACTTTGCTCCCTGCACTAACGTGCAATACAAAAAAGCTCATTCACAATGGAGATGCTCACCTTTTTTACCAATTGTGCCATTCTGAACAAAAGCCTGCACAGTAACATTCCAGAAAACCTGTGTTACATTTTCTGCTTCAAAAAAGTCAGTATTATGACACACGAAGACATTATTCAGTTGAACTGGATGCATAGTATCCTTTACAACAACAGTAATTGGTCCTACAAATAAGCACAAATATTTTAATGCCTTATGAACTACAAGAACATTTATAGGTAGTATTATGTTTTATATAATTCCATAAGAGTAAGAGATAAATTGAAGTTTAACAATCCTAACCTCTCTTGAATGTTTTACCTATGTGTCCCAACCCAAAGAGCCAAGTAATGCACAGAAGTAACCGAGCTTCCAGAACTAGACAAGCCATTAGAAGGGTAAACCTTTTTACTTAAGTTTTTCTTTAAGGAAAAATAATCCTATTATTAGTAGGTATTAGGACACAAAAGCCTAACACTGTAGCGCTTTGCTAGATGAAAGGTCAAGTAGTGCACGCTAAAAAGAATCTTCTGTATTCCTGTTGTCTACTAGCAGCACCTCACTGATCAAGGCTCTTCAGACAGTTAATCTTCTCCTTCCATTCCACATAAAGGAATGATACAAACATGAAGCTAACTAGTCTGTATTCTTAACCCAGTAGGCAGGTATGATGAACAGTAGTTATGCAGTATACAACACAGAAGTTATTAGATACATCATTAGTCCTTCTAACTTTGAAAAAGCCAACCAAGGTCAGGTACACAAGGTCTGACACTTGTGGCCCAGACTGTCTTGTAAGCAGGGTTCTGCACTGAACTTTACCTTTTCTTTTAGCATCAGGAAATACAGCGGTATCATTGGTGTTGTAGGTAAGTGTGATAAAGTCCCCCTGGTAAGTTTCATTGGTTTTTGTAAAGTTAACGCTCCAAGAGTGACCTTCTCCAAACTGCACTGCCAGAAGCGCAGCTTGTGTGTCATTGCCACAGACGCTTCCACTGTGTGTCACATTGGATGACAAATTCAAGGTTGCATTTTTCTAGAAGAAAAGGGTAATTTTCAATGTTTTCACAGATAGCAGTTCTTCCCCATGACAGCATTATAAACCTGCTGAAGTTGGATGCAACCTTGCACAAGATTAGCGAGGTTCTTTTAGGTTAGTCTATAAAATTATGAAAAAGGCTCCCTGACATCTGACTGAGAAAGGAGCTATGTGGGATTCAAGTACAAATCTAACTTGGCTGTAGATCTGGACCATGCTGAACTGCAATTTACATTTACTATTTGGGCTAAGAACATTACTACACTGATACATAAAACCCACCAAGTTTGACCGGTATACCATTTAAGTTAAGTACAATAGACCATTTTCAGTTATTTGTATTATTAATTGAAAACTTATGTTTTATTTTAAAATTAATATTTAGGAATATTCTTAACTGCCTTAATAAAAAAAAAGTTAAAACCCCAAACATCCTAGGTAAAGGACTGTACTTAAATTTTTACCCAGGACAAAATACAGTTCTCAGCAAAAGTCACTTCCAAATACTTACATAATCACTACTGTTTGTTTCATATTTTATCAAGAATCTCATCATCCATTTTGCATACAGGCACGTAGCATTAGAGGCATCTTTTACATCTACTTCCACTGCACAGGATTGGAAAAAACCTATAAGATATGATTATTAGCTATTAAGACATTGCTTTTACTTCATTTTCTAGAACTACTTAAGAGGACTGGTCAGTACAAAGTAGTCACTTATTTCAGGACTGGATTCAATTTGCTAGACACTGAAAGAGTAACTAGAATTCTAAAGAGCATTAGAACTAGGAAGCACACCATGAAGTTATCCAGGCTAGATAAAAATTTGGGAGAATGTTGTATAGTTTATTTACCTGACAAAGACCAATAACGTAAATGAGCATTAGCTTTCTGATAACAAAATGAGTAAACTGAAGTGCATGAACACAGTGCTTAAACAGTGTACTGCTTGTAGACCAGGGTCTTCCTACTATCTTATCTGTTTCATCAGTGCTATGACTCAAGTTGACCACCAAGAGATGAGACCCATCATTGCCTTCATTGTGTTTCCATGATTTCTGGCTCAAAGGACACGGATGCTAAATTCCCTTTACATTTTCAGGGAACTTTTTACAGTTGTTGGGTTTTTAACCCTGTGAATCTCAGCAGAGGCGTTCCCCCGGTGTCAGTTTTGACGTGCACTGTCGTGACCGCTGACCCCCGCAGCCCTCAGCTGGCGGCTGGTGAGGAGGGCTGACAAGATCCACACACGCAGGCAGCCAACAGCCTGGAAGCGCCGCGCGGGTGGGCCGGCGGGCTGCCCTGGCCGACAGGGCCCCAGGTGAAACACAGGCGTTAGCCGCCCGCCTTGCGCCCCA